AGGGAGAAGCTTTGAGACCCACTCCGTAACAAGCGATGTCGATCGCGACACCATAAGGGGTTACGCACAACGAAGTAACACGAGGACCTTTTCCCTTTTTGTACATGTCCAGTTCGTCGTGTGCCTTATTACTGGAACTGGACAATAATACAGTCACATCTCGTTAAAATAGACCCCGCCAAGACTACCTATAGGCTAGTATCCCTCTATATTACGAACCTCGGGTTAGAACTCTCTAACGAGTTAACTTAAGGCTCCAAAATAAGATTATATAATACGAAAATGAGACCTTACATAAGCGCGAAATGCCAAGGCCCCCGTTTTGCAAACCTTAGTAAGTTGGAAGGATTTGCCTCTCCGCCGATCCTTCCATTTTAATGGGGTGTGCCTATAGCAGAGAATTAGCCATCGCTCGCCACTGCCAAGACTAGGAACAGGAATGGTCTGAACTGAGTAAAGTGAAACAAGAACTAAAATTTGGTTATTGAATTAATTCAACAAGAATAGTAGCCCGCTTAGGCGACCTTTCAAGGTTGTCATATTTTTTTGGATGTCTGTCAAGGTGTATACGAAGGCAGTAAAAATTTTTTTAGTTTGTTGAAGAGACATTTCTATGTATAACCTTTGATTATTGCGATATAACTCCGATCCTGATGCGACGGGTAGTTATGCGGCTGGAAGATAGGGGATTTGGTTTCATTTTTGAAGCTATGACCTAAAAGCATATCCCGCCTCATCTCGCAACGAAAGCGAAGATAATATCAAGTGAAGGGCAAGTCTAGCCAAGAAAACTCGAAGCAAAGCTGCTGGATATCTCATATCGAAGAAAGCAAACACGAATCCTTCTAGATCAGCAACCCCCCCGACAAAGCTCACGCACCAACACGACCTTGTCGTTCCAGGAATGGCGGGATCTCGGCTATCATCGCTGCATACGAGTAGACTGTGCTTTCCGTAGGCTCGTTTCCGTAAGCTATATGGCTAAGAGCCATCTTTTGGTGTCTCGGAGAACCGATCCATGTGACTTCTGGCCTACGTTTGCCCGGCCAAGCCCAATCGAGTGCTTGGAGCGATGACTATTCCACATAAGCTAGTGCCTCCGTGGGGTACCATGAAAGGTGAACCAGAGTCTTTGCCGTCCCATGGCGCTGGTTGTAGGGAGAATGAGACAGAAGACTGTCAATCTCAAGTCTTTTTATTGGCAGAGAAAGCAGAAAACAACCCCATGTGGTTCATTGTTGCAAGGAGCACTTAATATAGGGTGATATAGGAGGCCAACTGTAAACAGACCAAGTGAAAATTGAGGTTTAAGATTGTAAAAGAGTAGTTGTAGCTTTTTTACGTCAGTTTTCCATTATTTTATACCACGTGAGGTGATCTTTGAAGTTGTAATGATCGCCAGAGTATGTATCTTAATCAATCGCTACCTTTTCCTATTTCCCAATCGGGAATGGCCGTGCGCCGCATTACGAGGGTGTGGATTGTGCTTAGTATGGCTGTAACACATTATGATTGGCTCATCTATACGAGAACTCAGCTGCGCTAAATGGAACAATGCGAACTGTCCAATATATTAGATGGTACGTCTGCGACGAGAGGAAAGATAGAGGAGAAAAGAAGAGAAAATCAAAGAGCTCATAGTAATCCGTTGTTCTTCGCACTGTTAATAGCTATCGCCAGCGGAGCCAATGCTCTCGACTCGAATACCCAACTGGCTCATCTTCTTAATCTCAATAATGCACCGCCCATCGAACAACCATTTCGGTGTTGCCATGCTATCCGTAATTCTCTTCCAGTCAACCTGCTTCTTGGGAAGGTTGTCGTTGGGTTTACCTGCAGCAAGCTCGCTACCATCTTCTCTCTGGCAGTCTGGGCAATCTGCAGCACAATTAGGCTCGATGTGAAGATTCTCTGGAGCGTAGATGACACATAGTGGATTAATCACACAACCTGTCACAGGAATTACTTCTTTCTGTGAGCAGTCGTGCAAATCTTGGCTCAAGGGTAGATGCCCCGGTGGGAGGTATGATGAACGAGGAACGGGAACCAATTCAGTATTTCGAAACTCATCAAAGTCGGTGACAATGAGTATCGCGTTGGATGATGCACAGGCTTCATAGACATTTGAGTAGACGCTCACGGCGCCACCATCATCTCTGAGAGCGGGAGGTCCGTATCCGTGTAGCTGACGGATCTCACTCTCGATGACATAGGGATTGCAGCATGGGTCAAATATTGCGATTTCTCCGGGGTTTTCATCAAGCAAAATCTTGATTATCTCCAAGGCAGGTGCCTCTCGGGTATCCGATGTGTCCTTCTTGAAAGCATATCCCAGTAGAGTGATCTTCTTTCCAACCAGAGTATTGTTCAGGCACTTGATGACACGACTGGTAAATCGGTTGCGCTGATATTCATTCATGATCACCACCTGGCGCCAGTACGCCCCAACTTCCTTGAGACCCAACGATTCAGCAAGATATACCAGACTGAGGACATCCTTTTTGAAACAGCTACCCCCGAACCCAATGCCTGCGCGGAGAAATTTGTCACCAACTCGGGAGTCCATTCCAATCGACGCCGAGACCTCATTAACTTCAGCCCCTGTGGCCTCACAGATTGCTGAAATACTGTTGATGCTGCTGAGTCGTTGGGCTAGCATGGAGTTAGCAACGAGCTTCGCCAACTCCGATGACCAGATGTTGGTCGTGATGATGCGAGCCCGGTCAACCCATCCAGCATAGACTCCAGCTAGTCTCTCTGCTGCAGCCTTCCCTGCTTCTGTTTTTGCAGAACCTATGATAACTCGGTCTGGATGTAACAGATCGTGAATTGCAGTCCCGGCCGCGAGGAACTCAGGGTTGGATAGAATCTCAAAATGTCCACCGGGCCGACGCACAGAAATCTATGAGGATAACAAGTGTGAGTGTGCTTTCATGGCCGGATGACATGGTACGACGTACCATCTCCTGGATCATTTGGGCTGTTTTGCAAGGAACTGTGGACTTCTCCACAATAATCGATCCGTTCCTTGCATGCTGCACAACGTCTGCGGCGACAGCCTCAAAAGCTGTCATATCTGTTGCACTCCCTGCGCCTGATCCTCGCATTTTGGTCGGAGTGTTAACCGCAATTATGACAATGTCTGACTCCCGAATACATTTTGAAACGTTGGCAGAGAAAAACAAGTTCGGTATCCGAGAGGTTGCAGTTTCTCCTTGTTGTTTGTCGTGCGCTTTCTGCTCTTCGACTATGTGTGAGATTACCTCTGCTTTGGGTGACATAGGTGTTATGGGATCATTCCGGAGTCCATCTCGTGCAACCCGAACGATTTCAGTAAGCCCGGGCTCGTATATAGGTAGATGTCGGGAGTTCCACCTTCGAATGCGTCGCTCGTCTTTGTCGGCGACTACAACACGGATATGTGGGTTTCTAAATGCAATGATAGCAGCAGTTGGACCGCCTGACGGTGATCAGTCTGTAGGTCATGAGAGAAAATATTAGAATCATGCATCCGCACAACGTACCGACATAGCCTGCGCCAACGCAGCAAATATTTCGGATTGGCCTTTCACCAACTGGGGTGTCTGGATCACTCTCATCTCCCACAGTGGCTCTCGTGCTGCTCGACTCTACGTCGAGTCTATCCGTGCCGCCATTCAGACTTCGATCCGGAGTTGTCGGCAGACTTGACAATCCGGTTGAAGGGATTATTTCGGAGCCAAATTCATGATCAATAGTGAAAGACATAGGTATCAAGTTGAAATTCTATCGAGTTCGATCTCATGCGTTTAGAGGGAGCTTGAGTGGAATATGTGAGTGGAATGCGTGAATGGAATGTGTGACAAAGGCAAACAAATGTATGTAAATTGCAGCGGGAGGCTTTTCACCCGGATACATGTCTACTTATTGCTAATTTTAGCTGCTTCAAATGCCACAGAGATTGTTGGAAGAGATCTACCTGTACGTGGAGATGCATCGTGCAATGTGAGGTTGATTGATTGGGGAGATTTTGTAACTAAGTTCGAAGACTATGGGATTCGACACCACCCAGGGACATAGAATTATAGAGCTGAGTCTCTCTACAAAATTGCAAGCCCAGTGATCGAATAGGTTGTTGTAGCGCACGATGGGGTTACCGGTGACGGCATTGGCTGTAGTAAGTGTGGTGGTGCGTGTTCCGCGCGGATCGCTGCATCCCACGTGTCGTATTTGAATGAGGTCAGTAAAAGCGAAATCTGGAAGTGAAGGCATCGGCCGTTTCAACGAACAATGGGAAAATGAGGATCAGTGTTGAACCAGATCCTTGACCTAAGCCTGTTGTTGAACTCAAGCAAACAAAGCAAACAAAGCAAATAAGTAACAAAGTAAACAAAGTAAACAAAGTACCATCATAGGCACGATCATAATAGGTCGAGATTAATGGGAGATTAATGAAGTTTTCGCTTCGGGCTAAAAGTAGAAATATAAAAAAAAGAAGAGGGAGTGGCAGGGTATTAGGACATGCACGGACCTCCAGCCTACATATGTACCGTAGGGAGCTTGAAACCAATCACGTTTAATAGAGAGCACATACTACATAGGAATACCTTGTTGGCTAGGACTACCTATACATATAACAACTAATTTGCTCAGTGAATACACTCGCATTGCTTTAGAATTCTATCAATAGTTAATAGTTTCTCAGCGGGTGCAGCCCATTTGAAACTCAGCCCGATGGCCCCCGCTTCCCGTTGCCCGTTTCCCGTTTCCCACTAACGACATATATAGCACCCATCGGTTAACCAGCGTTTAGCCCGAGAGGATCAGGGCCATGTAATCAGATGGATCCTCTAGGGCTCCCCATTCTCTCTCCTTTCTCTCTACGTTCATTTTGCTAAATATTGAATACCCCATACACTTTCTCTCTACAAAGATCTCCCATTGAGTGACATGCCCTAGAGTACTTGCATGCAAAATACTTCTGAAACCCGCGTACGTGCTTGCTACGTCTCAGAGTTGCAATGGCATCTACCAGCCCTCCAGCGCTGACCATAACATTTACACCTCCACCATCATGTACGACCGACACGTGCATGATTGAAAATCTGTCAGGTACAGATTACTACACGACCACTGTAACAACAGGTCTCACTGGCTGGTGGCTGAACCTTGGCCCGACGGACTGGAGTACTTGCTTCCCTTCGGGATATGCACAGGCGACTGACTTTTACTACTCTCCTGGTATTTGTCCATCGGGCTACTGGACTGCCTTCCAATCAGCCTATACTTCCAGTGGGGAGGCTGCTGAAACCCATGCCACCTGCTGTCCAATGTGAGTGCAAGCATCCTTAATCGTTCGTACATATATTATGGACGTGTATTAACTTTATTTCCCCCTGATCAGAAATTACAGCGTCCAGACCCGAAGCGATCTGCTTTGGTTTACCACGAACCAATGTACCTCCCGACACACCGAGCTGAGCGTTTGGACCTACACCAAAGGGGGAGTAGTTTCTAGCTTGACGACCACAGCGGACGGTATCAATGCCAAAGGAGTCTCTATTCGCTGGCGTGCCTCGGACCTTATTACTGTCACTACGACGAGCTCATTGCAAACCACAACTAGCACAGGAATCCGTGATCCAACAGCAACACCAACATCGACACCAACATCGACGGCCCAGGAAACATATTCGTCCACCAGCGGGCTGTCGACAGGAGCCAAAGCAGGCATCGGTGTTGGTATATCTGTTGGCGCTCTTCTCATACTCGCGGTAATAGTCCTGATATGGATGTTGCGACGGAAAGCCAAGAAGGAAGGCCCTTCTCCCAACGACACAAAGCCTACACATCGCAGCAGATACATGCCGCCCACAGAACTTGAAGATAACGGAGCAGCGTACGGGTCCACGGAAGCCAACCACAGCCACCCAAGCCAGCCAAGTCCACTGAATGAACTCGACTCAAAACACATTGCTGCGGAGCTGCCCGCGCAATGATGTAGTAGTTGATTGTTAGTTTTCGATACGGATCGTCCAATTCATTTTGTCATGAGGAGTATCGCAACTATCTACCTCTATTTGCAAAAGATCACCTCTTCCTTCTTTTGTGTTTGGGATCGCTTCTTTCCGGTTGAGTGAAAGAGCCCTCGATTGTTCATATTATTTTGATACCCCTACTGTCTCCAAAATAACTTGGCATTTTGGTTTTCCGTTGATTGTCTGGCCGCTTCTTGTTGACTGTCTTATAAAAGCTCGAATAAATATGTAATATGACAATAGTATTAAAATGCGAAACTAACGTGGTTGCTTTGTTATCATCCGAATGCCACTGCTGTCAAGTATTGAGTATCTTAACATATTGAAGTTCATTGTCAATTATATTCTTAGACCTGTTGTTGAATTTTAAATCAATAACAATCCGCCAATGGCGTTATGTGGAACGTCACTCCTCTCAGCCTCCGACGGGTCTCCAGAGCTGGTGTTTTTGCTTCGATAACTCAAAACTCGATTGAATCTCCGAACTTTCAGCCTTGCGAGAGATTCATCTGCTTATCAACGTTATCTCTTCATTGATAACTCTCTCGAGTGCAATCTGTAACAAGATACATTTCGGAACAAACCTAGTGACCAAAATTATTTGTGGGCTATTCCATTGCATCGGTGAAAAGATTTATCTCAATGACTTGTGGTGTCGGCCATGGTTTCAACAGTGCGCTGGATCACATATAGAAGCGAAGATCTAATTTATGAAAGAAAAGAAGGATATTTCTAATGCCATAGTTGATGGGCGAAAATGCACCGTCGCTTATACCTATCCGATACATCATCCTACAAGGGCGTACACACTGCTGGTACATGGGTGGATTTTGATAGCTAGTGGCCAACATGGAGAGTGGTATGCCAATCATTCGGAGGCGAGATTTTCGGAATGAAATAGTATCGATGAACTACAATCTAGCGTTGGGGTTGAATTATCGTAATTTATTTTCATTGGGTCATGATTTTCCTGTACTAACCATCATGCATACATATCAACTGGCTGTATCAGGTCTGGGATTGAGATCAGTCTGGACCCCAATAGCATGGATGGCACTCATTCACTTTCCTGGCAATCTGGACATCCTTATTTACAAGAACCCCGACGGAAGATGCCTATGAACAATCAAAAAACAATATAGGATATCAATGAAGTAGAAAAGCTGCCAACTCCTGATGTTCACTGGATCAAGCTGCGCCGTCATATTTCTGTCGTCTTTTCATGGACTTCCACTGAACAAGTCCAGCACCAATAAACGAGAGTAGTGCGGCAGCAACAGACACGTAGAATGTCTGGATGATGGCAACGTTGTAAGCATATAGGACAGAGGGCAGCATATTTTTGGGCACGCGCTGGGATAAATTCGCAGCTCCGGCTTTTATTAATGCGTTTGGGCTGAGATTGGGAGCATTAGCCGTTATGCTGGCGACAAGGCGATTTTCAAAAACTGTTTGGGCTATCGAAATAAACATTGCCCCACTGAGGCTTTGTGAAAAGGTGATGATGGCGATTCCGATCGGTATGTCCTGTAATGGCAGAACAGTCTGGAGTGCATTGATGGATTGCTGGAAGCCAAATCCTGCTCCAATTCCAAGTATGACTTGGTACCCAATCCACTGCGGATGCCCACTGTTCACTTTAAAAGTTGTACATAGCCCAGAGCCAATCGCGAGAAAGGCACTCCCAGCGAACATGAGTGGCGTATAGTATCCCACGATATTAATCAGTAAGCCTGCCAAAGCAGAGAATACAATCATAGCGATCACCATCGGAAGATTGTTGATACCAGATTCTGATGCAGAATCTTCCTTGACTGCTTGAAACCAGATAGGGAGCTTGGAAAATTGTTAGCAATGAAGCCAAAAGGATTGCATTCAGAACCCACATAGTATCCAAAGATGAAAAAGGAGCCCCCTAGGAAGGTAGCATGAATTACTGCCCCAAGCACATCTCGATTCTTGAGTAAACGAGGCGGTACTGTGGCGTTGTCCTGCTGCCAGACCTGGATAATGCACCATGCAAAACCGAGTACTCCAAACAGAACAAATAAGACAATGATTCGAGCATTGCCCCAGCTGTATCTGGTGCCACCCCATTGGAGACACAATAGAAGGGAGACGACCGCTGGGATGAATGCAAATACACCGAGTGGATCCATTCGCTTTAGCTGCCCAAGTCGGCTTATTTTGGGTTTTGGCGATGTGGAATCCTTGAAGAAGAGTAAAATGACAAGACCAGTGAGAACACCGAAAGGCAGATTTATCCAAAAACACCATCTCCAACTGACATGATCAGTTAAGAGCCCCCCTAGCCTATTGTACAATTAGCCGCCATTTCATGCGATTGAAATAGTAAGACTTACAGTGGTCCTGTGATCGTCGCAATTCCACTAGTGCTCCCGATAATTCCGAAATAGAGGGCACGTCGGTGAAGGGGCACACTATTTGCGAGCACAAGTAGAGCACCCGGTGATAATCCTCCAGATCCGATGCCAGCAATTGCTCGCCCAAAAATCAATCCCTTCGATGTTGGTGTGACTGCACATATTAGGGACCCAAGTTCAAACAAGCCGAGAGCAATCATATATGTCCACTTTGTCGAGTAATATGTGTATACCTTGCCAAAGGGTAGAGTGACGGCACACGTGGTTAAAAGGTAAGCACTGGCATACCAAGATAAGTCGCCTAGTGAGTTGAATTGTTCAGTGATCTTGGGAACTGCGGTTGAGAGGATTGTGTTGTCCTGGTAAGTCGTCCACATTAGCGCATGAAACCGTAACAATAACTTGAAACTTACCAAGGCGATACAAAAAGATTGAAAGCAAAGTCCTATCAGAATTGGAGCCAGCTTTGAGCTCGGTGGATAGATTTGCTTTTCTTCATTATCATCACTCTTCTCGGTTCCAGCCTCTTTCAATGGGATGTCATCTCGATTTGTGTTATCTTGATCCCTGAAATCATTCATGCTTGAACCGTCTGCCATGAAACTTCAAGTTGAATTCCGTAGTTGATATTGAAATAGTGAAAACCCATAAAAATGCGTTTGGTCGAATCATCCGGACTGAGGTCTGAAGGGTGTGTGAAATAGGCAAGGTAGAAACCGTCACATTAAATCTGAGTGTGGACGTACAGTACTTTTCTTGTAGGACATCTATGGACCTACATTACCATAGCGGGATGCAACCCCGATAGAGTATGCAAGGGGCTTATATCTTGATTTATGGTCGGCGTCTTTCCCTTTCACTTCACATTCTTTTCACGTTGATTGGCATGCAGTATATTATTCTTTGACAAGATGACAATATACTCAATAGGTCCAAGCAGCATCTATATGCTCGCTTAAAGAATATCTCATGCTCTGAGAAAGTAAATTGTTCGATTGGGAAATCAATCTCATGACAAGGTTGTGTCATTTGATGTCGTTTGTTACTCGAGGTCGATCACTTTCGGCGTGATGAATCTCGAAACCCTGCATTCCAGTGAGACTGTAACTTCACCAGCACATCCCCTATGATTGCTTGTCAATTGAGACTTTAAGTAATAAATAGCTTGGAAGCCTACCTAATATTCCGGTGCTCTCCCACACAAGATTGCAGGCATTGAGAATCGGTCCTTATACTCTGTAAATGATAGTTCACCCCAGGGCTATACACAATTTAACCTTCTGTGACGGTTACTCATATGATCAACTTGATTAAGACGTAGCTTTTCTACCTAACCAATTTTTTTATGAACATACCCATCAAATCAATATGCCACCTCTTTATAACCGGCTGACTCGCACAAAGAATTGTGCGCGCTTCATTATTATCAAAATAAACCAATTTTTTCATAGAAAACGGATGGAAATTTCGACGGGGCTGCTGTTAGTATACGATATTGTATATATTTATGCAGTGCTAATTGGTCGTTCGAGGCGTAATAAACGTGGGTAACCCCGAAGCCACGACAGCGCTCATTAAACTACAGTATTGGAAGTTTGAGTACCCCTCACCAACTATCCTCATATGACTATACGCAAGTATACTAGAAATCTAACATTGGGAGGACTAATTAGCTTTTATGAATTTGAAGGGTTTCTGGTGATCTCGGCAGTAACAAATACTTCAGGCGTCGTTTCGAAGGGATAGATATAAGGGGCACTGACTAACAGGTTTCCGGCACCAGTAGACTTTTTAGGAATCCTGATCCATCGACGATGTAAGTGGACAAGCGAATATTATTCCGAGGAATGCACGCGAGCTATCGTCAAAAGTAGAAGTGTCAGTAGTGGCGTAGCGCAAGCACGGTAACCGAGACTTGACGGGTTGTATGTGATTTGTGAACCAAGATTTAACTTTCCCAAGTCTAGCTGACGGTCGATGTGTGATATGGAAGTTGACGGTTGTCGAGGATTGACGAGATGCCGAGACTAGATTAGACGATATGAAGATGTACCGAAACCTAACGACATACCATGACGAGCATTGATCTATGGGAGACTGAGACTTAGTGTCGGTGATTGTAGTCGGTGGATTAGTGAGATGGGCAGTAAACAGTAAAAGTAATCTAATATCGAATATTTATAATGCTGCAAGTCTTATCGACGCGGTCAGATAGTCATGATCGAGGGGGCCATGATCACATGCGGTATCACAATCAGTTACTAGATTGATTCTGGCTTGATGTTCGTAGACCCTAGCGAAGTTGCTTGAAGATTCTCGCTGGGGTTCCAAATATCCTTCGCCGCCGTCATTCTCCGAGTCACCCTGTTAGAGTATTCTTAAGGGGCGCGAGGAAGAAGCAAAGCAGGCCCTGTCATGCTTGATGGGTGATGAGACACAAGTTATTGGGTATCCTGATCTGGAAAATGATGCTGCCCACCCTGCTTCCTAAACAAGGAGAGTAAGGCTCACCGTCAGAGCCACTTAATATGTAGAATAATATAGTAATGGATATACTCTTTCGTAGTTCTTTTAATT